CCTTCAAATTCTGGTGTCCTCTTTTCTGTGAATGGGTCATTCTCAGTCACTGAAATGTCACATACCTCGTGCCTCTGAAGAACAGAAGGCCCAGAGCAGAAATTGGCCTCAGTGTTCCACTGCTTCCCTTACATTCCACCCGGAAAACTCCCCTCCAGACATCATGAATCAGGACATGGCCTAGGAAACTAGTGGGAAAATCCCATGTAGTTTTCTGAACAACTCTAGGAGTAATCTCTGTATACGTATCCAGGAGTAACCCCTGACCGTCACTGGGTGTGGCACAAAAGGGAACCAAAATAAAAATTATCAGTATACTACGCCCTTATCCAGAGAATCTGTTTATCAATGCATACTAAAAAAATGCCAAATATTATCTCTCTTCTACACTTTCATATAAAACAGAATTCAATAAATAAGGAAGGCTCTTGTTCAGCTCCATTGTCTCTCTTCTCAATTGCTTAGGAGCATTACTCCATACTAAAATGATAAATACTCAATGAATTTTTAATTATCATCATAAACAATATCCTTTTAACAATAGCAAGTGCCCACTAAAGTTTTTTTACCTCTTAAGCTCATAAAAGACAGAAATAATCATTGTGTATGTATAATGAAGATACTCAAACAAATAAAATTTCCAAATTAGTAATAATGATACTTCTTTTTAGGCATGCTTATTCTGGTGATCACTGTATCACTGTATCACTGTCATCTGGTTGTTCATCGATTTACTTGAGCAGGCACCAGTAATGTCTCCATTCTGATGATATTTCCATTTAATTACTTTTTTTGCATGTGGCTCAATTCTCCATTGCTATAAAACTCTTCCCTCCCTCATTTTTTGTCTTCTTTGTTGGAAAAAATTCATAACACCCCACTGGAACCCTGAGAAATGTTAGGCATCAGGGCACACTAATGAGCATAAAGAAGAAAGCTCCCTGTTTTCCAATAGCTCACACATGGTCTCTAATAGACCAGGCACTACAGAATCATATTACTTCAACTCCCTGTCTCCTCTTTGCCTGTCAGTTGTTCATTCTCAGTCACTGAGATTTCACATCTTTCATGTCTAGATTTCTAGAGATGTCTCAGACTTCGTGTGCTGAAGAGAGAGAGGCCTAGAGCACAAGAAAGCTTGACTAAGAATTCTGCTGCGGTCCCTCACAACTGACCCTGAATTCTCCCCTCCAGACACAGTGCAATGGGACCTGGCCTAGGAAGCTAGTAGGAAAATCAGAACATTAGAGAATACCTCATGTTTGTCAAAAGTTGTGACTCAGTAGAGAAATCCCAGACTTTAATCAGAAAAATCAGACAGAATTCAAATATGGGATGTCAAAGTTGTGTGGCTGCTTAAACAGTCTAAGTTGCTTTCTCTTTGATCTCAGTGTATGGCCATAAGGATCCATGATTATACTGAAAATTCTCGTTTGTGTTTCCAAGAACCCCGGCAAAGAGTATCTGAGCATGGATGTCACTGTCACAGCTGGGGTAACTCAAAGCACACCAGAGAATGCAAGTTACTGAGTGTTTGATTGAACACTTGGCATAGATATGAATTTCTTTATCACAGACATTCTGAAAATCATCATTTCCCTGGTGGGGCTAGCAGGAAGTGCCGTGCTGCCCTATATACTGATTTTCTGCATGCAGAGGAATGTTTTCTCTGTCTACATTCTCAACTTGGCAGGAGCTGATAGTCTGTCTATCCATCCAGATGTAATTATTCATAAATAATTTTGTCTGTGATTTTAAATTTACTTCAGCTTCATTTCTGAATTTATATTCATGACATTCATATTTTCTTATGTTGCAACCATGAGCATTCTTAGTGTCATTAACACTGAGCACTTTCTGTCTGTCCTACAGCCCATCTGGGTATCGTTGCCACGGCCTTAAACACATATCATCTGTCATTTGTTCCCTGCTCTTGGCCTATCCTTGCTTCTCAGCATCCTGAGAATGGAGTTCACTGGCTATCTATCTAGAGAACGTGATATACATTTGTGGAACATGATGATATACATTGCCACGTGGTTGATTTACATCTTTGTGCTTCTCTTTGGATCCAGTCTGGTACTAATAACCAGATTTCTGTGTGGCTCCAGGAAGATGAAGCTGACCAAGCTGTATGTGACCATAGTGCTGGTCTTCCAATCCTCTGTGACCTGCCTTGGGGCATCCGTAATTTGTTCTTCTTCTGGACACAAATTATTTATACTAAGGATGACAATTACTTATAATACTTAATGCCATTTCTAGTAACAGAGGTATTATACTGTGTCAAAACTGTTCCAATCCCATCATTTATTTATTTGTAGGCAGCAGCAAAGGCAGCAATGGAGCCTCAAATTAATTTTTCAGAGAGGTTTGCAGGATCTTCCTGAGGAGAATGGAAGTCAAGGCAGCCCTCCTAGGAGACCCTGGAGATGTCAAGAAATTCTCTTGTGTCCTAACTCAATCGCAATGTGGACATAATTTTCAGATATTTTGTCATTGCATTTCAGATATCAGGCACTTCAACTTTTTTTAAAACTGAATGTTATTTCATTGTATAAGTGATTCACCACTTATTTTCATGCTGTGTGTATATATATAGGTAAAAGGTCTATTTTGGTGCAGTGTTCATGCAGAATAAATTTTAAATTATCATTGTTCTTTGACTATTTTCAGGACATGTTTGTATTTCTCAAAGATAAATAATCAGAAGGGAAATCTGGTTAATGCATTGCATATGTATTTCTAGGAGTAACTTCCGATGTGTTTTCTAGGAGTGGTTCGACATCTGTTACATCTGTATATGGTGTCAGTGATCTGAAGTTACTATTTCTCCATGAGTTGCTCTCTTGAATCAAAAATTACTTCTATGAAACAAGCACTCAAGACAACAGAAACAAAAATAAACTAATGCAACCTCATCAAACCCAAAGATTTCTGCACTCTAAAGAAACATGGGCTAAAACAAAAAGATATCAACAGAATAAGAGAAAATATTTGCATTCAAAATATCAGATAAAGAATTCCTATCTGAGCTACATAAATCACAAAGGTTCACAGCAGAAAAGAATCCAAAAGTTGTATACAAAATTGGGGAGAGAAAATGATCTGTTAATTTTCTGAAGGAGACCAATAGACACATGAAAAACTGCTTATCATCATTTACTATCAGGGAAATACATATAAAGATGACAATGTGATAAAAATCCGAGAGCAGTGTTGTGACTTAGCACACATTAAAAACAAAAAACAAAACAAAAGTAGAAACTGTCTATGGTGGTGGATATCCTTAAAAAATAAACTCTTGTCCAAGGCTAGTTCAACTAGTTCTACCCTTAAGAAAACTAGTATGGAGGTTTTTCTGAGAAGTAAATAAAGATTTACCATGGCGCACAAGGAATAGTACACTGAGTAGAGTGCTTCCTTGGCATGCAGACAATCAGGTTTGATCCCTGGCACCCAACTTGAGCCCACAAGCCCTCTATGAGCGAATCCTGAGAACAGAGGCAAGTGTACGTCATGAGAACAATTTTATTTGGCCTAAAAAAACAAAAAAGAGATAGAGTTACCTTAGGATCCAACAATTCTACATCTTGGTATCTCTCCCAGGATAAAATCATTCATTCAAGAGGACATATGCTCACCAATATTCATAATGACACTCAGCCCAAAACTTTGAATATGGAATCAAACTGCATGTCCAAGAGCCAATGAATAAGTAATGAAAAGTGTTATATTATATGATCTGTGGCACTGTGGTACAGTCCTTCCATTGTTCATCGATTTTCTTGAGCGGGCCCAGTAACGTCTCCATTGTGAGACTGTTGTTACTGTGTTTGGCATATCGAATACGTCACGGGTAACTTGTCAGGCTCTGCCGTGCGGGCGAGATACTCTCGGTAGCTTGCCGGGCTCTCCGAGAGGGGTGGGGGAATCGAACTCAAGTCGGCTATGTTGACTGCGTGCAAGGCAAATGCCCTACCGCTGTGCTATCGCTCCAGCCCATTATATTATATACAAACCTTATACACTGCACTTGCAAAGAGTGAAAAAATCATTCATTTTTCTGCAATTGGATAGAACTGGAGAATATCATGTAAATGAAGTGCATCACAAGAAGGACAAATACCAGATTGTGTCACCTTATCTGTGGTCTACAGAAGAATAGCAGGAGGACGAAGTGCCCTGTCTCACCACAGGGCTACCCAGGCTATCCTTGACCACTGAACACAGGATTGAGAAGGACAGGAAAAGAAAGCAATGAAGGGGATAGATATAGAGGAAGGGGAGGTAACAGGCATCAGATTCAGGGACTTTTAGCACAATATAGTGTAGAGATGGAATATATGTATATATCTATACTTCAGAGCCAACAACACTATAAGCATGAAATACAAACTAAAGATTAGCAGTAAATGTGGAAGTGTGCCTGTCAAAAAGGCAGACGGGCAGTTGGGAGTAAAGCTATTGGACAACACTGGAGGAAAGTCAAATTGCTGATGGCATTGTATTGAAACATAGCATATGTAAAACTTAACTAAGAATAAGTATGCATATCATGGTACTGTAAACCTGTGAAATATAAGATAAGCATTAGATGATAACATATGTATAAATTTATTTCTGGGTCTTAATAGGAACACACTGCTATGTGTGTGAGTTTTTTTTTCCAAAACCATTGTTTTAATTACTACTTTTATGCTATATCCTGAGGTCAAGGTTTATGATGCATCCTCTTTATTATTCTTGCTTTCAGAACTACATAACCCAAGCAGAAACTTTACTTGTTCATTTAAAAAAGAAACTAACAAAAGTATTTTCAGTTTCCTTGAAAATTTTCATTGCTCTTTGAAGAAGCCAATTCAACTCTTCCATTTTGGGATTACTTCAACATCTTTTTGATATTTAGTTTTATTATATTTTTAGATCTTTTAGTTTTCAACTCCTTATGTGTATGTTTCACACACTTTTAATAAATTTTAGTTTTTTTTCTTCACAAAACCACTCATTGTATCCTCTCCCACCACTCTGCCAAAATAGAAGAAGAGAAGAAGGATCTTCAAGGTCAAAGGCAGTTGCAGAAGCAACACCTAGATACGACTTCATGCTCAGGAGAGAATACTCTGGCTCCTCCTCATGGTTTTGATGCTCTGCCTGATCAGAGAAACTGCTCTAGTAACAAACTATAAAAATTACTCCTAAAAATATAGTCTTAGGGGCTGGAGTGATAGCACAGCGGGTAGGGCGTTTGCCATGCACACAGCTGACTTGGCTTCTATTCCCAGCATCCTGTATGGTCCTCTGAGTACCGTCTGCGATAATTCCTGAGTGCAGAGCCAGGAGTGACCTTTGTACATTGCCTAGTGTGACCCAAAACAAAACAAAACACACACAAACATAGTCTTAGAAGGTGCAAAGATGCACAGTTGAAATGACATCTGCAGCTGTATGTTCATTGCAGCACTTTTCACAATAGCCAGAATCTGGAAACAACCCAAATGCCCAAGAACAGATAACTGGTTAAACAAACTTGGTACATCTACACAATGGAATACTACGCAACTGTTAGAAAAGATGAAGTTATGAACTTTGTTTATGAGTGGATGGTCATAGTGAGTATCATGCTAACTAAATTGAGTCAGAAAGAGAGGTGCAGGTAAAGAATGTCTGAACTCATTTCTGGAATATAAAATAACATAATATGAGACTGATATCCAAGGAAAGTAGGTCTGATACTGATATCCAAGGTCCAGGAATACTGCTCCATAGTTGGAATCCTGCCTCATGAGCTGGGGGAGAGGGCAACTGAAATAGGGAAGGGATCACTAAGTCAATATTAGTTGGAGGGATAATTTCAGATGAGAAAAGTATGCTAAAAGGATAAAGGACTAAACATGATAGCCTCTCAATATCTATATTGCAAACCATGATGCCCAAAAGTAAAGAGTATGGGGGAAATTGCCTGCCATAGAGGCAGGGAAATGGATGGTATGGAGAGGGGCGGATACTGAGGACACTGGGGGTGGGAAATGTGAACTGGTGGAGGGATGATGTTCGATCATTGTATGTCTGAAACTCAAACATGAAATCCTTGTTACTGTATCTCAGAGTGATTCAATAAAAAAGAAAAAGTACAGACTTAACAAAAAATAGCATTAACTTAAAAACCATTCCAAATCAATGTATTGCTGTTTTTTTATACAGCTACACAGAAACTGATTGTTCAAATAGATTGCAATTTATTCAGTGAGTTGGAGACCACTTCTGGTGATAATACTATAATACATAATGAGGGAGGGATGTGGATCCATAGTGGAATATGCTCGGCTGAAATGTTTCATACATGAAACCCTACAGTAACAGTATTATTAAAAAAAATTTTTAAAAATTCAAAACTGTTCATTAAACTCTTTCTCATCATTTTTTAAAAATAAATTTTCTTTCACTTTTGAAACTATATAATCAAGACTATACAAAAAATTCCTAATCATTATATTCCTCCTGGGATCTGTATAGATTCACTATCTCATCTGTCTCTCCCTTCTTTATAAGCAAGTGCCATTCCACTCTAGAAATGATTCTGTAGGGTTGGTAAAGGAAAAGCATGTGACTCAGACCTGGAGTTTCAGTACAGCATCATACAAATTATATGCGGATAATCAGGTACCCACCACTCAAACCCTGGATGCTTCAATTATATTGTCTACAGATGGAAAGGACTGTATTCAGTTAACATTTATGTTCTTTTTACATAGGTTTTGAATGGTTTCAATTACTTAGATATGAAGTTCAAGGGCTAAATTCATACCTCTACATGGTATCCCACTCACCTCACCCACCTACAGGATTTCAGTGTCATCCTATCACCAAAAAGACCCTCTATTCAACCCTCTTGTCCACCTCTTAGAGTCACTAGTTTTGTACTGTTAATTCTGATTTTTCTAAAGAAGGCCAAAAGAAGTTTTATCTTGAAAAACATTAAACCGGCAACTCTTCTTCACCTTGTTTGCCAGCTATTCTCAAGTTGAACTTCAAATGAGAATTTCCAAGTGACTTGGAACAAGCACCTTGCCAATAACCAATCTCCTTGTTGTCCAAGTGATAGTACAGCAATAAGCTATTTGCTGTTCATGAGGCCTGTCCAACTTCTATTGTCAGCATTGAATATACTCCACCCAGCACCTCCATCTGTAATTTCTGCACACATAGTCAGGAGTAGGCCCAGATCATCACCAAATATGGCAGAAACATAAAAAAAATCAATATCCTATCCTCTTCTCCAAAGAATCCTCTATAAAAGTGCATAGTTAAAACTGCAAATATTCTCTCTCTCCTATATTTTCATATGTAACAGAATTTAGTAAGTAGTGAAGTCTTTCATTCAGCTCTACTATCTCCTCTCTTTGTTGCTTAGGTGGTTTTTTCCATATAAAATATTAAAAAATCTGTGAGTTTTTAATTGTCATCATAGACAATTCCCTTTATATTAGCAGGTGCCCACTAGAGTCTTTTAACTGTTGAGCTCACAGAAGACACAAATAATCATTATGCATGTTTAATGAATATACTCAAAAAAACATTCAAACTTTTGAGGAGTAATGATACTTGTTATTATGCATGCTTATTCTGGTGACAATTCCACTTAATGGTCCTTTTCTTTTTCTACATCTGATCCAAATTTTCTTTGGTTTAAAATGTCTGCCTCACTCATTTTTTATCGTCTTATTGGAAAACATTTCATAACAACCTAATGTGACCCTTACAAATGTTAGCCATTGGGATATAATAATGAACACGAGGAAGAGGTCATTCTTTTTAAGATCAAAGACATGGATTTAACAGACCTGGAACTATTAGGTCATATTCCTTCAACTCCCTGTGTTCTCTTTGCCTGTCATTGGGTCATTCTTAATCACTGAGATGCCACAGACATCTAGAGGTGTCACAGAATTTGTGCTGAAGAGAAGGTCCAGAACAGAAAGCTGGACTCAGAGTCCTGATTCTGCCTTTGCTCTGAATTTCCCCTTCTGGATACTGTGCAACGGGAAGACCTAGGAAGCTAGTGGGAAAATCAGGAACTTAGAACATTTCATGCTTGTGAAAAGTTGTAATTCAGTAGAGAAACCCCAGGCTTCAATCAGAAATATCAGGCAGAGTCCAAATAAGGATGTCAAAGTTGTGTGACCTGCTTAACCTAAGTTGTTTCTCTCTGGTCTCAGGTACCTCATTGGCAATGAGAATCTGTAATCGTACATCCATTTGTGTTTGCAGAAACACTAACAGAGTATCTGAGCATGGATGTAACTGTCACATCTTAGGTGACTGAAAGCACACCATAGAATGAAAGTGACTGGGAGGGTTTTAAGAACACATGACATGGATATGAATTTCTTGATTGAAGACCTTCAGAAATTCATCATTTCCCTGGTGGGGCTGGCAGGAAATGCTGTGGTGCTCTGGCTCCTGGCTTTCTGCATGCAGAAGAATGATTTCTTCATCTACATCCTCAACTTGGCAGGAGCAGATTTTTGTCTATCAATCCAGTTTCTATAATCTATATAATTTTGTCTATGATTTCAAATTAAACGTCAGCTTCATTCCCGAATTTATATTCATGATGTTTGTCTTTCAATATGTTGCAAGCCTGAGCATTCTCACTGCTATTAGCACTGAGCACTGCCTGTCTGTCCTACAGCCCATCTGGTATTGTTGCCACTACCCAAAACACATGTTATTTGTACATGTGCTCTGCTCTGGGCTCTATCCTTGCTCCTGAGCATTTTGTGATTTGGGTCAGTGGCTTTCTGTTTGGAGAACCTGAAATATATTTGTGGAAGTTAATTGATTTATGCATTGCCACATGGCTGATTTTCTCATTCTTGTTTCTCTTTGGATCCAGCCTGGTACTAATGATCAGATTGCTGTGTGGCTCCAGGAAAAGGAAGCTACAGTCTATGTGTGCCCATCAGGCTCACTGTGCTGGCCTTCCTCCTATGTGGACTACTTTGGGGCATCCTCTTATGCTTAATGACAATTAGTTATACTATGTACACCTTCAAATCTTTTCTAGTTACAGAGATATTAACCTATGTCAAAAGCTGTACCAATCCAATCATTTGCTTCTTTGCTGGTTCTTATAAGCAGAAGCAAAAACAGCAAAGCAGGAGACTCAAATTCATTCTTCAGAGGACTTGGCAGGATGTTCCTGAAGAGAATGGAAGTCAATGTAGTCCTACTTAGGAGACTCTGGAGATATCAGGAAACACTCATGTGACCTAACTTAATCACAATGTAGTCATTTTTTCAGAAATTTTGGCATTGCATTTCAGATATCTGGCATTTCTCACTTTTTAAAGCTAAATTGTATTTCATTGTATGAGGCAGTCACTATTAATTTTCATGGTCTGTATAGATAGGGTAAAAGGCTATTTTTGTCTAGTGTTCATGGAGAATAAATTTACTATTAATGTACATATATGAGTGTTTGTAGGACATGTTTGTATTTCTCACAGATAAGCAACTAGAAGGGAAATCTGGCTAATATGAAAGAAGTTGCTTATGGAACTCTAACAGTAATTTCAAATGTCTTTTCTAGAGCGGTGGTTCTATATCTGATTGTTTCATTTACGATATGGTGTCAGTGTTCTGGACTTCCTGGTTTCCATATGTTACTCCCTTGCACCAAACACCATTTCTTATGAATTAAGTACTCAAGACAAGAGAAACGAAAATAAACCTATGAGACCTCATCATACTTAAAGATTTCTATAAAGCTAAGGAAACATAGGCTGAAATTAATACACACTAGGACAGGAAAACACGTGCATTCAGCAACATCAGATAAAGTGTTCCTAATTTAGATATATAAAGCAAACAGATTAACAACAGAAAATAATTCAAAAGCCTTACACAAAAACCTGGAGAGAAAATGAACAAGCAGTTCTTTGAAGGACATAGGCAGTCGTTGGGGATTCATTGAAAAATGAACTCTCATCCAGGCTGGTTCAACTACTTTGACCCTAAGGAAAGCAGTATAGATGTTTCTCAGAGAACTAAGTGCAGAGTTACCACGGGCAGGGGTGATATTACAATGGGATGTGAAATCAACCTAAGTCTCCAAGAACAGATGAATGAATAATGAAAGTGTGATAGATTATGTACAGAATTTAGACACTGAAGCTGAAAGGAATGAAGAAATCATGCATTTTGCCACA